AAGGCCGGCCTGGGCTACATTGTGAGACCCTATCTCAATAAACAGAAAAGATGAACAGAGAATTTGATTGGGGGGGGCATGGGTTAAAGTCTAGTTGGAAAGGGTAGTGCTAGAGCATGAGGCTTCCTTGATGCCAACACCCACAATTGCTCTGGATATGGCAATCCCCAGACTGAGACTGCCAGCTTGGGGTGGGGGTGGTGGAGGAGGGAAGGGGAGAGGGGAGTGGCTATACAGCAGAGCAAGGCCCTACATACTGGAAGAAGGCAACACTGTGGGCTGGAGCAAGGAGGACATCTCCAGGTTGAGCACTGACCCAGGTAGGAGTCAAGAGGGCTAACCTATAAATCCCTTGCTGTGACTAAGGCTAGGCATAAACATTAATCCTTGTTTTCCTAATCTGTGAATCATCAACAGTAAGTGTGCCTTACAAGTGGGATTGGTGTGAGAATGGGGAACCAGCTCCTGCAGTCACTTATCCCCATTTCTATATGATTTTTATAGTCGGAGAGTTCTAATCTCAACTAGAGTTGGGGGAAGCACATGGAGGGCAAAGCTGGTCCTCATGTTTCTATCTTTTCCAGTAGAAAAGATAGTATTGCTGCTCCAGGAAGCAATAACTTGCGGCCAGCAGGGCTGCCTGTCTCCTTGGAGAGGATGGAATTGGAAGCTTTGGGTCTGCCCCCAACCTTTCCCCTTCGTAGTGGACGGTGGTAGGAGCTGTTAGGGTAAGCAGCATCGCTGAGGGCTCTGTCCCCCAGGATGGGCCCTTTCCACCAAATTCCTACCTAAGAGAGAGGGTTAGACCCAAAGGTTAAGCTGGGAGGAAACTGAAGGGGCAGCATGCCTCCCCCTGTATGAATTCACTTTGCTTTGCGGATCTCAGGCCAGAAGTTTTGTTCCCTTAAAAATCCTCTAGACTGCCCCCAACGCCTTTGGGGAAGCGCGGGAAGGATCTCAAGAAACGTGAGGGGGACCCCCAGCGGCTCTCGAGCTCAAGCTGTAACTCACGGTTTCACAGCTCCTCTCATTTGCTAAGGCGGGTGGCCTGATCTTTCCCACATCTGAAAGTCTGTCTGCCTAAAGAATGTCTGCTTCTTCATGAAGTCGGCTCCTGGCGTGGACCCTTCTCGGCGTGGACCCTTCTCGGAACGCCGGCACCTGACCCCAGCCCCCCATCCCAGGGCAGACCAGGCACCTGCCCCTCCCTAGGAGTCAGAAATTTACTCAGTTTTCAGTCTTTCTCCCTCTACCCACAACCCATCCTGGTACCCAACTGGAAGCGTTCTGAAAGTAAGAAGTCACCCTCGGGCTAGTCGAAGCCCGGGACGTTCTAGTCACTCCCTAAGGGATGGAGCGCGAGGCGGACGCGGACCGGTGCTGGCTGGAGGGCAGGACCCGAGCGGTGGACTCACTGCTGGGCCCGAACCCTGGAGGGGGGGCGCGGGGAAGTGAGTACTTCGTCCTTGTTGCAGGATCCAGCCAAACCCAGCCCACCCGGCCCAACTCCCGCTCCCAGAGGCGTGCCCACCCAACCAGGTGATCTCGAACCTTCTCCCTCACACACCCCAACAGCAAACAACCCTCCGCGCTCTCCCTCTGGAGAAAGGAGGTGGAGCCTGACCTCTGCCGGAGGCTGCGGCAGCTGCGGGGGGGGGGGGGCTCTTGGCTCTGGCCCTTGGGGGAGTCACTCCCCAGGGAGTGGCAAGGGTGGGAGCCTTGGCGGGCTCCCCAGAGCCCCGGAAGCCCTCTCCGGGCGGTGTCAACCCTTTACCAGTGAAGGGGGAGGGCAGAAGAGGTGGCTCAATGAGTGCCGCTTGTGGCCGTCCCTCTCCAGCTGAAGTGCCCTCGGGTCCCCCTCCGCCATTTATACACCCCTCTCCCCAGCCCTCTAGCCCTAAAGGCTGGATGAAACTAGGTGCCTAGTAAGCAGCAGAGAAAGGATGCTGCTTTGCAGCTCTCTCCGGAGCCGAGGTGTGCCCATCCCCCAACCCCTTGACGGGGTGGGGGTGCAGAGGGACCCTAGAGACGCCGGCCAGGGCAGGAAGGAGCCTGAAATGGAGTATAGGCAGCAGTTGCTGGCGCTTCAGTGGAGTCAACCCGGGTGCAGAGCAGAGCACGCACTCTTACCACGGGAAGGCCGGGGACTGAAAGAGGGTTGGAGTCCGTTGTCAGAAGGAAAGAGAATGCAGAAACAGCTTTCTCTGGGAGAGGCAATCTGCAAAGACTTCCCTGGCCAGCAATCTGGAGGCTAGTGCTGGACAGATGGGGGTTTTGGACACAGCACCATGGCATGCGGTCCCCAAAGTCTGAGCACATGTAGCTCCTGTAAAGACTGGTCGCATAGACCCCTACTTCACCCTGATCCCTCCGCCCCAGTCTGTGGCAATGGGTGCCTTTAAAGAAAAGATCTGCTTGTTTGCTGGTCACTCGACCACTGGAGGGGGGGCGGGCTGGCCCCTCCGGTTTAGTTACTGGGGAACACTCCTGACTTCCCCATCCATAGAGAAAAGAAGCCACAGCAGGTAAAAACAAGACTTCTACTCTTGGATTTGCCTGGGGGCAAATAATTTCCAGAGATCCCTTTAAGGAGGGGTGTTCTGATCCCTTTAAGAGGGAGCAGGTCACAGCAAAAGGACTATAAAAGTCCAGCTTTCTTTATTTCACCACCCCTGGGGGCTTCCTATGATGGGGGAAGGGGCAAGAGTTGCCACTGAATTTAGCTATGCCCCGGTCCCGTCCCCCCCCCCCCCAGAGAGCTGTGTCCTTCATCTTGTCCAGTGGGACTTAGGGGCCAGGTGGCTCAGTGTTCTGGGATCTGGAATTAGGACACTCTGAGAGAAGGCCGAGGAAGGGCTGCCCACACCCTGGGCATAACATCGAGGGAGGAGAAAGTGGTCAATGCCACCTTCACAGAAATTGTGCTTCGGGTTGGGGTGTCCTGCCCCGTGCCAGGTGGCTGGATCTCAGGGCAGGTGGTCTGCAAGGGGCTGCCTTGGGCAGTCGGGGGGTGGGGAGGTGCCTCCCCACTGGACTGGGGATGACAGAGCAGCCAGTCTGTCCCTGCTGTCAGTCTGGTTGTACTTGGTGGGGGAGGGGTGTGCTGCATGTTCTCTCTGGCCCAGGATGTTCTCCTCCAGGCATCATCTCCCTCTCTTGGCTCTCCTTCACTGATGCAGTTAACCCTTCCTGGAGGGTCTGCAGGTGCCTAGATAGAAAGGTGTCTAGAGACAAGGAGGGAATGGTCCTGGAGACGAGATGGATCCATTCCTCTTTCTGAACCAAGTGCTATAAACCCTTTTCATCCAGAGAGAGGAAAGGTGCAGGTCTGTGCACTGGCACAGCTGTCCTGGGGCAGTGGGCTGGGAGTAGCATGCACTCAGAAACTGCTAAGAAGTTGAAGGAAGCAGAAAGAGATGCAGCCCTTTCCAGATATGGAAAGGCTCTGGATTGGGAAGGAAGGGAGTCCAGATGCAGAGGTCCTTGGAAGTGGAGTGGAGGAGGACAGGAGGCCAAAATTTCCCTTTGGGGTACAAGCAGACTGTATAACCCCTGGACCCCTCTTGGCTGGCTTGTTGACCAGCTTTAAAAAAGCAAGGGAGAAGGGGACCCAGGATATCAGTGGGCTGGCTGCTGAAGGAGGAACATCAAGTGCCTTCAGCAAGCTTGTATCCCCCAAACCATAACCCACTGAGTCAGAGCCTTCGGGGGCAAACAGACTGCCACCCACAGGGAAAAGCTCTGAGGGCAGAGTTCCTTTGGTTATAGAGCAGACTGGGCAGGCTTGTAGCTCCAGGCAGTTCTGCTTCTTCCACAGCCAGAATTCTCTCTTCCCTCCCATCTGGGTCCCAAATACGCCAACTCTTCATGTCACCCTGGGACCACAGGGGCTTTGCCCTCTGCCACCAGGGAGAAGCCCACTCCAGCAACCCTGCCCTGTCATTTCCCAGGCTGAAAGTAGGCTTCCTGCTACTTGAGTCTCTTTCCCTGTGACCACTTACATCCTAACCCTCTCAGCTTCAATCCCACCCATAATCAGAGATAAAGCAACTGCCAAGGTCAAAGGCTAGGCTGCTGACAAGAGCCCTGTCCCCTCTTCTGCCTCAACCTTTGGAAGCTTCAATGGTCATTGCTGCTCTTGCCCTCTACTACCAATCTGATGAGGACTGGGGTCTACCATGGGACATGGCAAGATGGAGAGCAGGATGGAGAGAGGGGAAATTTTACGAGGTGGAGTAGAGCTGGCCTGGTATGAGTTGGAGGACTGCTGGGAATCTTTGCCTTGGGAGGTTCAGGGAAGGGAGAAGTTCTTCAGTGTCCTACTTTCATAGATTTGGGGTTTTGCTTTCTCCAGGGGCAGGAAGTACAAGGGTAGTGGTCCTAGGAGTACCTGGCTCTTTGAGAAGTTCCTCACCATGGCCTTTGTAAAAACATGTCCTATAGAACAGCCAAGGCAGTCTGGGGGTGGGGGTGGGGGCACTGGTTAGTTCTGGAGGCAAAGAACTGTCTGAGTGGTGGTGGTGGTGATTTCTGAGACATAAAAGGCTGGCAGTCCTGGTTATCTTAAAGGATGCCCGAGTTAAGCGCTTCAGTCCGAAGGTCTGGGAAAGGCCGAGCACTGTTATATGGTGCAGGAGGAACCCCTCAGCCACACTCCAAGGCTGGGTTTTTCCTGCTTAGTAACCAGGCTTCCTCAGCACTCTGGGCACTTCTCTGCCCTAGGCGTTCCAGGGCCCAGCCCCTCCCGGGCTGCTCCCAGGCTCGGGTGACTTGACTCTACCCTTTCGGCGACTGCTCCTTTACCTCCCCAAACGCCCCTCCCCCCCCCCGCCTGAATTGGGAATGAGCCTTTGTTCAGGGGTGTACTCGGCATTTCGAGAACCTACTGTGTGCACATTTGGGCTCCTTGAAGTTAAGTCCTGGGCTGGCTCTGGCGCTACAAGGTGCCCAAGGACACAACCCCCTCCCGCATCTAACAGGGACCTCCCACCCCTTCGTGTGACCTCAGCCTGCTGTGCCCACCCACCTAACTGACCCTGAGAGCGTGCTCAGGTTCGGAAAGGCACGTCTGTGGGTGTGAGAGACCGAGCCACAGCATAAGGTGACTAGGAGGAAGCTAGGTAAGTGTCTAAACTGGGTTCCATCCTGGCTTGGGGACGCTAAAGAGGGAGTCCAGCCGCGCCTGTTAGGCTGCCCGCCCCCTTCCCCCTCCCTGGGAGAGCTCTGATGTTCCCCGCGGTGGTGGAAGAGGGTGTGTGGGTGTCAAGGACTCACAGACCAGGCTCTGCTGTCAGCTGGAAATGGATGAGGGTTCCACACTCGGCTTCTCAAAGAGGGTGAATTGGAAGATGGGGGGTTGAGGGGGGGGGACGGTAAGGTGAAGGGCAGAAAGAGGAAAAAAAAGATGCGGGTGAGGGGTTACCGAGCCAGGACCGACCTTGTTTGGAAGGAAAGGAGACGTGGCAAGCAGGGAAGTCGGAAAGATGAGGCAAGGGCGGGAGGGGCTTCTCGGCAGTCGGGGCCCTTTCGCGCGAGTCTGGGGCCCTTTCTGCTGGAAAGGGGATGTTGTTCTCCCTAGATTTTTCGGTTGTTCTTCCCGAAGCTTTGCCCCAGGGGCAGCAGCCTCGGATGAGGGTGGGGTGTCCCTCGGCTCGCAGTTTTCTCTAGCGGGTGCTGGAGAGGTAACGTGGGAAGAGGGATGTAGAAGGGTGACGGTCAGGGCGGGAGCGAGCTAAGATTTCTCGGGGTGGGGGGCTGCAGCTGAGGGTCTGGGGCTCCAGGGTCAGGTCACCATGGGATACGGGCTCCGGCTCTGGAGACCAGCAGAAAATCCAAAAAGCCGGCAAAGAAAATATCCCCCGCCACCACCCTTGGCACCGTACCCCTCCCCCCAGGCCCCACCACTCCCCGCACAGCCTCCCCCGGCCGCCTCGTGCTGCCCCCTGCGTCGGGACGACCGACCCACGATTCTGATTGGTTGGAGACGGGGAGGGGGAGCCGAGGGCCGGATTGGCTGGCGGGGCCAGCGCAGGGCGGGGCGGCTGATTGGCGGAGCTTACCGAGGGGCGCGCCACTGATTGGCTGGGGACGAGGAAGCAGGAAGGAGGGCGGCCGAGGCTCAGCTCTCGGGGAGTTTGTGGGGGAACCGCGAGCGGCGTAGCGGATCCCGGAGCCCGGCCCCCGCCGCCCGCCCGTCCGGCTGCCTGCCCCGCCCGTCCGGCC